TTGCATTGTACACCTAGGTGTGGTGTAGCTGGGGCAAAAGGTTTGCACCCTTTAGTGACTTTTAGAGAATAGTTCCAAATTGTTTTTCATAATGGTTGAACAAATTCATAACTCCAACAGTTGTCATTTTTCTCTTTTGTCATCTTTATCAGTTAGATGGGTGTAATGTGGAGACTTTCACCTCTCTCCCCTATGGCATTTTTCCTGGGAAAATCTGAGGTCTCTCTCTCTCTCCTGTTAGAGGAACTGAAATTGTAGGATGAACAAAACTCCATTGTTGGGCCTGGTTACAGAAAAGGAGACTCAACACTCAGCTGTGGCTTTGTGAACTATTTTTCTTTACTTGCCTGCTTTTCCTACAGCCAGACAATCCTTAACCTTTTACTAAAATAATAAAATTTCTTTTATTCTTCAGAAAAATGTTCGTCTGTAATTCTCTTATTATTGATGATTGGGAGCACTTTTATGTGGTTGTTGAACTACCAATTCATATCCTTCAACCACTTGTCCATTGAAGAACGGCTCTTGTTCTTTTTTAAAAAATAAATTTTATTGGTATAGTTTGTCTTTTATATCAAAAGCATTTCTCCCAGGCAACCCTTCCCAACAAACCAAACTCATATAACAAATAACATTTTTGAAGAAAAAATAAAAAGAGGAAAAAGAGACAAAACATCAGTAAAATTGATTGATACATTGAAAAAGTCTGAAAACTCTACACTCATGGACCTCTTTTCTCTGCAAAGAAACATGGTGAGAGTATCTTCCTGTATCTCTTCTTGCAACCATACTTGTTCTTTGTAATTTTGAAATATTTACTTTTGATTGTTTTGTGGCTGTTCTTTCCATTTACATTGTTGTAGTCATTATTTCTATTGTTTTCTTGACTCTTTGACTATTTTTTTGTATATTTGTATCAATTCCTTAAATATTTTAGATATGAAAAAGTTGCTGTAGATACATTTTCCCAGTCAGCTGCTATCCCTCTAGTTCTCGTGCATTGATGTCGTTTGTGCAAAATCTTTCCAAACAACTTTAAAAGACTTTAGAATTAATTAATGAAATGACAAACCACAATTCTGTTGGACCAAGGATGAAGCATACTGCCCATGTCCAAACAGAGAAATGATGGACTCAAAATGCATAATGAAACATATGTTTTTGGAAATGGTCAATGAGAGAATTTGCTTTGCCTGACTATACATATTTGTTATGAAGGTCTTCTTTTTCTTTTCCTTTTTTGCTTCAACTTAGAGAAGAAAGAAGAAATAAATACTTTTTAATTGAGAATATAATAAAATTAATTTAAAAACAAGATTTTCCAGTTTTATGTAATCTGATTGTCCATTTTATATTCTAACATCACCTCTATCCCTTGTTTAATTAAGAATTCTCCCCCTACCCATGGTTGTGAAAGGTATTTCCTTACTGTTTGATTGCTTCTGGATCTTGTGTACCTAACCTGTATATAGGAGTTTATTCTTTTTATTTGCTATGATCATCTCTATTCTTTGGTCAAGAAATCTTCCCCTTACCCATCATCGTGATAGTTCTTTCTCTTCTAATTTGCACATTATAATCCAAGTCACGCATTCTATTCATTTAGAACTTGTATATGATGTGATTGTTGATCTAAGTCCCATTTCTGCCAAATTACTTTCTAATATTCACAGGAGTTTTCGTTTAATAGGGACTCCCTACTATGATAGTTGGTGTCCTTAGATGTGTTGAATACTCTGCTACAGAATTTCATTTCTTCTGGGTTTTTGTATCTAATTTGTTCCAATGATTGACTTTTATGTATTTTTAAACAGTACTAATCATGTTAATGACTACTGCTTTGTAGTACAGTTTGAAATCTGATACCACTAGGCTCCCTTCCTTCTCATAGTCTTGGATGGGGAGCCTAGGCTTGGGTTTTGTCCTTGCAACAGTCCTAATGCCAATGTAGCTGTCCTGCCATAGTTTTTCATGGGAAGGCTGGGTCCTGCTACCATTCTATTCTTACTTCTGTAGCCCTTGTCTGGGATGGGGACCTGGGCCCAGACCTGGTTTCTGCCTCCTGCCCCTCCCCCAGTGGGCTGACCTCTAGTGTCTGTTCTTTTTGTCTCCTTGTACAGTCTCCTACTCATGGGGCTATGGCTTGAACCTTTCCCCCGATTTCCCTAGGCTGGCTTTGGCTCATTTCCCCAATGTGTGAAGAAGCCTGCACTAGTCTCAGCCCCTTCTCCTTTTGATCATCTTCTGGAAGGTCTGTAGCTTTGGCTTTGTTGAGATGTAGGCCTTGATCTGGCCCTGCCTACCTGAGCTCACATTGACTTACTTCACAGATTGTTATGACAAAAACACTTTGTAAACCTTAAAAGACTATGGAACAATGCTATTATTATAGTTATCTGTAAAATGAGGAGGTTAATCTAAAATGGAGACTCCAAGGTCTCCTCCAGATCCGGCATGATTGATGCTTACAATGTGTGTACAAGTATGTGGGTTTGAGGGTTCCCATTTGGCTATGTGGGTCACATGTGAAACTCCAGTTTTATATCTTATGCTGATTTGATGGATAATTTACCCATTTCCCCCAACTCCAAGAAGCTATATAAAAAAGACAAGGAAAACTAAGCTTAACCTGTGACTTTAACCTTAACCTACTCTCTGTAGTAGTAGAGAGTAACAGCCTACTCTCTGAGCAGCAGGTGCAGCTCCCATTGAAGACCTTGGAATCCAAAATAGTCTATAACAATTAGAGCCAGTAAGTCTCTTAGACTTTTTGAAGGAAGTCAGTTGTAGAAAGCAACAACACCTTGTGGGGATTTTGGCCAAGAAAGAGAGCACTGGGCCATTTCTCCTAAAAGCTGAAGGTCACTAGCCATTGTACTTGTGTGTACCTGTCATGTGTGTGAATGGCGGCAGTGTGGTACCCAGTTTATTGCTTGGGTCCTGCTACCCTTCTAATCTTACTTCTGCAGCCCTTGTCTGGTATGGGGACCCATCTTATTCTCCACCCTGATCTCTCCCAAAATTCTCCCCCACCTACCTACCCAAACACACTCCTCTAAATTCAGCAGCTCCAAAGAGGCAATTTGCTGAATTAGAAAGAATGAAGAATTCTTAGAGGACCTAGGTTTCAAATCCTGTCTGAGGGAAGCCTCTGCTTCCCTCAGTTTTCTTATCCCTAAGGTGAGGGAACAGCTATGAGGTATCTTCCAATGCTAAGTCTATGAGATCCTTTTAATATGCCCCACCCCTAGACTTGGTGATGTGGTTGCAAGCTTGATGGTTCATTCAGGTATAAGCAATACAGACACGTAAACAGCCTGTCCGCACCTCACCCGCTGAGTTACTCATAGTCCCTGACACACGTCCCCCGCCTCCCCTCCACCTACACACACATACACACACACATACATTCATCCTACAGCAACCCCACCCTATCTCCCTCCCTTCTCACCCCGTAGTGGGAAATAGCCTTGTGAATTGGAAATGGCTTCATTAAGCCGCAAGACTATTAAACCAGGAAAAGGAAATGAGCCGTTTCTAATCTCCACGTTCATCCCTAGGGCTCAGGGACTTCTACAACGCTGCTGAAAACCCGCGCTGATTCCAGCTATCGGGAACTCGAGCCCCAGAGACCTGCTCCGTTTGCTGGAAAGGCAAACTGTTTGAATTCCGGCTCCGATAAGTTGCACAGAGCTCAACCCGGACCATCCTCCCATCCTCCCACTCCCCCCCGCCCCCGCTGCTGGCAGGGCTAGCGGTTCCCTAGGGTTGAGGTTCCACCTGGCAACCGAGTCAGCGGTTTAAGGAAGCTGTGGTGCTTGGGGAGGGGGGTGTCGAGGTGAGGGAGAAGGGGGTAAAGCAAGTCTCAAACCTTGGAGCCCAAGATTTATTTCAACAATCCCACACCCAACCCTCATCCCCTATGACCGTCCTGGAATGATGGAACGAAACTGGCTGTGTGTGTGTGTGTGTGTGTGTGTGTGTGTGTGTGTGTGTGTGTGT